GGATGGGCGGGGGGCTAGGTGAGGTCTGTGGTTGTGGGTGCGTCTGCACCACCAGAGGGCTTTGCTCCGACACACCTCTGAAATCTGACAAGGAGGTAGAACTCTCTGGCTCATGACTTAGCCCTCCATCTGAAAAAAACACAGGGTCTGTGAATATACCAGAGATATAATACTAAGATGATTAGTGACTAACAAGATTGGACTTCTTACCAATTATTTGTACAATATATACAATGCAAACATCAGATATTAATATACCTACAATCCATCTGATATTTCACTGCTGTATTTTAACTTGTTCTTAATGTTTTATGTTTTATTGTTTTTTTAATGCTGTGTTGTTATCTTTGTATTCACTGTAAGGTGTCCTTGGGTGACAGAAAGGCACCTATGAAATAAAATGTATTATTATTATTTTTATTACAATAATCCAAAATATATAATGAATAATTGAATTTAATGCAGGTTTCACATGATGCAGCAGGAAAGTGTAGGTAACAGCTATTGATAAAGTTCCTGGACACCTTTGTTGTGAAATATCTGTCCTATGCATCAAATCATTGTAATTTTAATGAAAAATAAGATGAAAAACAAAACAAAAACATATAGATAAACTTAGCACAAAGGTCGAATTTCACAAGTATACACAGTAAATTTGTTATATAAAAATAATATATATATATATCATATTATTGTTATACATTAAAATTTCCTTTAATTACTTTTATTTGTGTTTCATTTGATTGTTGTTGATTGTTGGACTTTTTAATACAAATATTTTTGTTCACAGAACTTTATCAAGTTATACCACTTATCATGTTAATAAATAGAAAACAAAACACTGATACTTTTTCTTGAGGTTGATCAATATGTGGCATAAGACAATGTTTATCTGCTGAAACAGGAACAGCTGGATGTTAATGTGATGGTGTTGTTTCCACAATGCAGTGACCAATAATTATCTAAACAATGTTACTTATTTATTTTTTTACTTTGTTATCCTATTAGAAGGTCATAGGGGAGTTAAACAAAATATTGTTCATCATCAGAAGCCACAGTTTATTTATGTGATGGAGATTGTAAATTCCAGTTAAAAGCACTAATTAAGCCAGATAACGAAGAGCCACCAAGTGGATAATTGCTCATCAACATAGTTACTTTTAATTGGTAAGTTTGATAATTGATAACAGGAAATGCTGTGGAATTTATATTATGTGCACTGACATTGCATCGGCTGGATTTCATACTCAAACAACTCAGCTGTTTCCATTTCTATTTGACCAAATGTTCACATTTTTGCCAGTAAAGCACATGAAAAAAGAGCTATTGACCCGTGAGCTCGAGAGGGCTGCACAGTGAACTCTCCACCGGGGTCAGCAGAGGCAGACAGGGGAGTTTGGACTCTGATTCCTCCAGACCCTGAACCAGTGGGATGGATGCATTCTGAACAAACTGCACCAGGAGCTAGGAGAAAAAACACTCGGTCAGAATATAAAGACAGGGCCTTGTTCTGACTTTGTGTCATCAAGAGTCTGTTGTATGTTGACGTGATAATATTGATAATATCACCTCTGGTTTGGAGTCAAGCTCATCAGAAAGCATTGGTCACTCTTGTTTGTAACCTCTGGCAAAACATAAGAACACAGGGCTCAAAAAATCAATACTTAGTGAGTTAGAGAATTCACATTTATTATAAACAATGCAATGGAACAGTGCAAATACCACTGAAACAGGACATTACAACTGGGTTCACACCAGCCACTGCAAGTCATTATGTGTAATAATATTATTAATAATAATAATAATAATTACCTAACTTTGCTGCTTTACTCGAGGATCAGCTACTGTTCAGAAGCTCAGGCTGTGGGTCATCTTTGAGTCAGGATCATCACAGAAGCTGTGCTGCCAGAGAAAAGGGAATAACTATGAATAACCCAGCACTGAATTATTCAACAACCGCATCTGATAGTTGGGCAATCGTTGGAATTATTATTATTATTATTACAAAATGTAAATAAGTTCTCTGATTTCAGCTCCTAATACATGCAACGCACTGTTGCGTCATAGATTCAGTTAAGTATGTAATGTAGAGATCTCATTTGATTTTAAACACACTGATTGACAATTAAAACAATTTCAAATTATTAGTTTGCACAGACCAAAGCGATAGCAATAGCTAAAAGGTTAGTAAATCGTGTAAACATCCATGAGTTTAAATATGGTGTTAGAAATTCAAATTGAATCTGTATCGTCCGATGTGTTCGGTTACTGTGACTCCATTGGTTGTTATTGGTCGTGGCTTTGTCCGCCTATCAGCATGCTGCTAGACGTTGTTTATGTTTTCACGCATTAAAACGATGAAAGCCGACAGATAACACACAAGCTTTGCAAAACAGCCACTAAGGCTAGCACCAGAGCCATTATAAAACTAGCCACATGTGCTAACTCTACAGATAATAAGCATCAAAGTCTGACATTAAAATGAATAAACCATTAACTTTAACACTGTCTGGTGTAAGAATTAATTCCCTTACCTTGCAATAGCAGAGAAGTGATCTCTTGTGTGAGGGGACTAAGGTTCTAAACTGTGTCAACACAAATAAAACAAGACAATTGTACGGAAGCTCATCCAGATCAATTTTTACACTTCCGCGTTTCACAGATATCAACGACGCCACCCAGTCGTCAAAGCTTAAAACTACACTACAACTTATTTGCAATACTGCATTTACAATTATCCTCTTGTTCAAAGAAATAGAAATAAACGATAGCGCCTTTCCAATTTGCAAAAAAAAAAAAAAAAAAGTTATTTATCAACTGACTGGAGATTTATCGAATGTGGAAAGGTAAAGACAGAAAAAACAGCATAAATATATTGGAAAACAAAACGTATTATCTTTATTGAACAGCATCATAAATAAATGTCTGCAGTTGCATCACACACACACATATATATCCAATTATATATAAGTCAAATTTTTGCAGAAAATAGATTTGATCATATGGGCCACATAAAGAAAATTAAGCAGATCATTGAAAACGATAAAAGCATTTTTTTCCCCTGCTGCCTTAAAAAAATTGAAGACATCCATAAAGTGACTCAAGTATTCAAGAGACTCTTGGGCGTTTGTCAAAACAACACAACTAAATACTGCTGAACAGGAATGATTGACTGGTTATTTAACTCTTTTAGTCTGGTGGCCCTTTAATATGGTAGTGTATGCATAACAAAAATATTATGGGCACAAATTGATATTTGTATTCATCTGCTGCAGCACCAATAGTCATTATACTGTATGTGTTTATTGAGAGAGGATAAACTCAGCGGGTTGGTAATTTGTCTTTTCCCCAAAAGGTCACAGCCTGAAATTAAACTGTTTGAATCCTTTAACTGCATTCTCAGATAAATGCGCCAAATTCCATATTTAGATAATCTGTTGATGCAGTGCTAAAGAAGAAAGCAACTAAAATATATTCATTTTTCAGTGTGACTCCATTTTCTGCAAAAGCATCAGAGAGGAGTTTGGAAGACCGTCGATTCTTTTATGGCCTTGTTCTGAGTGTGCGTAATGTTCATGAATTACTATTTAGAAATAACAAGATTTCAAGTAAAAATATTTCATGAAGATTGTGGTTTTCTATTTCTAATCAGAATTTGACTGGCTTTTGGAAAATAAACTTTAATGGATAAAACTGGATTGTGCAAAGACAAATGCTGACTTTACTGATGCTTAACACATGTCAAACATTTAAAACGCACACCTAGAATAGTTTTTTATGATCGGTGTCATGGTTTTCTGTTTAACCACTTGCCATTTAAGGTTTAAAGCAGGGCTCATAAAGGTGTTAAGAAAATCTTAATAACTTTTTATAATACCTGCTTCCCAAAAATGTATTCCAACAATGTATGACCTTGGATGAATGCTGGATGAGAAAAATAATTATTCTGAGGAGTCACATTTATTACATAAGTAGGTCTCTCATTTAAAAACACATGAAAATAGCCAGAGAGCATGTGACTTAAAAGAAAAATCATCCATAGATCATTTAAACATCACAAATCAACAATTTTGAATATAAACCCAAAGTTAAATGTAACTTTTTGACAAAATTGACCATTTTTGGTTGTTCCATCACTGCAGTTGGTAAAAATATGTAATAACAATAGTTTTTTAAAAAACATTTTGAATAAAGTATCCAAAACAATGTAAGCACACAATTATTTTCAAGCTCTTTTGTCTATTCCAACAGATTCTCAGAAATAAAATCAATGCATGTTCTGAAAGACTGTCAACATTTTGTTGTCAGAATACAAAAAAGACAATCAATAATCAAGGTTGCATTGTGTCTTAAATGTCCTGAGTCAATGGTTGGTTGCATAAACGTTCCGCAAAAGTGGTCCCAAAAGGGTGAGTCTACAGAAGTTGAACTTCAGATGGTAATTTACTGTCTCATAAAAATAAGACTCAACAAAGGTTTAACGTCACCCAAAAAGGATTTTTTTAATAAGAATTGTTGCACTATTTTCGGCCAAAAACCTCACGGACCATTGATATTTCAGTAGCGTCAGTTATTCCACTGGCAGAGAACCAGTGCCATAACTTCAAGATTTTATGTCAGCAGAGGGTCATTTCTAAAATTTAAAGACTCTACAGTGAATCATAAAGAAAGCACAACATCAACATCAGGTCTAAGAATAGAGCATCTGGGCATCTGACTGATGAGGGATTGGTCTGCAAGATTAAAAATGATTCCTGCAAGTTCAGGTGACTGTGCAAGGTGAAATATCTATCTATCTATCTATCTATCTATCTATCTATCTATCTATCTGTCTGTCTGTCTATCTGTCTATCTATCTATTATAGATAATAATAGTTCTATAATTATATAATAATTATATATTATTGTGTATACAATACGCTAGTTATACGCTACGCTAGTGTAGCGTAAGAATACATTTTATGATTAAATTAAACTTCATTTAAACACTCGCATTGTAGTAAAAAAAATGTTTTTTTAGCAAAGTCACTAAAACGTTGATGCATGTGAAAAAGTTGCATGAATTTATATCGTTATTTTATTTTTTAAATTCACTTTTCTTCTATCGAAATATATATATTTTTATTAATGTTCCATGAGTGCAGTGTAGCGTAGGAATGGCTGTTCTGTTCAACTCCTCCAACAGCGAGGTCCGGCCATTAGGTTGTCTGCACGATTCGCCCTTCGGTGGCTCAAACGTGCAACTGCATATATAAACAGGTTTCCTCCGAAAGGTTGTCTGCTCTGTGTGGTTGTATATTTGAGCCACTGGAGGGCTCGTGTCTGTCATGTAGTCACGGGAAAACCCCTAGGAACACTATATCAACCTGACAGCCATTTTACTCACTATCCCTTTTTAATGAATAATTTTGCGTTAACATTTTATTGTCTAAAAAAAGTCAATAATATGGCAAGAGTCATGTGTTCCCATGAACAAACTGATGAGCCTGCACTGTCACCCAGTGGATTGTAGATTCGGTGCAGGACGCTTGTGATTGGATAACGAGGCACAGCTGTGCCCTTTAAATGCGGAAGGGAGTGGTAATACTTCCCGGCTCGGTGATGGTTGTAAAATGCTTGCTAGTATTACGACTCAT